TCTGTGGCCAATTTATCAAAACAAGAGCAAAAAAGTACTCTGTGGAAGCATCTGCTAAGATGTGTGAGGCCTACAAGGCATATTTCGGCATGCTTGTCAGAGATCAAGACAAACCCTGGGCACATATTTCACCTGCGATCAATGCAAAAAACTATGGAAGTTAAGATGGACAATTGTTGCTCTGAATTTTATGTCATAAAATTTGTTAACATTTTTTAAATTGAAAAAGTTTAAAATTTTAAAATGTTTTACAATTTTCAATGTTATTGAAAAAATCTAACATATATTCAAAATGTTGTGAGAATCTGGAACACATTAGTCATGGGTGAAATTTATTTTTGTAGGATGGTACAGATAAGGAGTCGGCAGCCTTCAAGTACCTTCAATACTTCTTCCCTAAGCTGTCTGAGGCAAAGGTCAAATCCAGTGTCTTCGTCGGACCACAGATAAAGAAGATCCTGGAGTACAATTAATTCCCCAAGAAGCTCACTAGTAAAGAGAAAGCAGCTTGGAACAGCTTTGTCGAAATGGTTCGTGGCTTTCTGAATAATCACAAGGGCCAAAACTATGTGGAGCTAGTTGAGACTGGTGAAGAACTACGGCACAATGGGCTGTGTCGGGTGGTGGAGGGTTACGACACATTTATACTTACGCGATCTAACCCGAAAACCTGTATTATGAAGAGCTTCATAGCTCCTCGGATTCCTCCTGCAGTTTAAATACAGATTCTGATCCCCAACGTTTGCGTTAACATACACAACAGGGATCAAAGTGCGTGTTATTGTTCTAAATATACGGAATATAGACCGCAAACGACGTCAAGTCAAAGTGTCTTCTTGTTCAAACAAGCACGTGCGGGTGCTTATCTGCAATGCTGGCCCCGACTCGGTGACGGCAATTCCACATTCCTGTGGCGGAGCCCAGTCGGGCCGGAGATAAACAACTGAGTTGTCAATTTACTAACATCACAAGGATTGTCAAAGGGCTTAACATACATCTCGGTGTAGATATTACAAATAACTAAGTTTCTAACAAATATATGTGTAAAAAAAATACACGTAAAGGACATTTTGCGATGTCTAAAAGATATATTTAAAAGATGTTTAAAACTTACTGTTCAGTGCGGCGGAGAAATTCAGGTGACCATTCCGCTCAAAGTTAAATATCGTCTTCATTAACGCCAAAACAAGAGCTTTCACTTAAAAGATGAACAACAACAATAGCAAACAATTTAAAATTACGTCGGAAATCACTTAATTAAGCAGGAATTAAGCACTGAGAACGCCCCTATAGGCCTCAGGTCGACTAGTTCTCCAGTAAAATCACGTTTACGGCACGTCGTAAAGTGATATTTACAATCGTAAATCAAACCCAACAAGTGTCGTAAAACAGGCACGCACGTGGGTGCGGTTTATCTGAACTGGGGGTTTCACTCCCGGTATATTTATAATTCATACGTAGCATTAGTACTGAAGTAGCAACGTTCAATAATTGTAATGAATGTTAAAGGCGCATCCCTGCAATTTCTTGCTCGCGCCACTGCTGGCGGATATGCCTCCACAAGGGCAATCCTCAGTGATGACTCTGCATCTGTACTACAATGCTAATAATTGCACAATAGCAACTCCAGCACAAATTTAGCAAATTCCATATTAGGCAGCAGTCTGCGTGTGAAATTGAGCAAAAGGCGGACCTCGCTTAGCACTCAAGATGCGTTCCTGGATAAGTGAGCGCTAACCGAATCAGCGTTAAAAGGGCTCGTTAATCCATTGCATGTTTGGGGATACGTTCCCGACAGCGTTATTGTATTCGTATGAACAATGCAGTATAATGCTGTGTGAATTGCACCTACCCTAAATTTGTCAGACATATTAAACTAATTAACCATGCATACAAATATAATTAATCATATAACTTCAAAATTATACGCAGGATTGAGCCTTGGATAGTTCTTTTGATGCTTTACCACGGTGCGTACAATTTCTTGGCTGCTGTGGGGTTATGTTGTCAGCAGAGGGCAGTGCACTATAGTCCATTGTTGTGCTGTACTGTGTTATGCTCCCACATATTCTATCTGCCTTCACCAACGCGCAAATGACCATCGAGGTGAAGTATAACCAGACAACCACCCATGACCAACCAGTGTAGGGAGGCCATGATCTAGCAGTAGATTTACAAATGGGGCCTATCTATATTATTCAGTATTACATTTCATTACTGGAGTATATGGTTTGCCTGGTGGCAAGCCGATGTGAGCATTAGAGTATTTTGCTGCTATACATTTCCACATGATTAGCCACTTCGTTGAGCTATCATCTTTGCCAGGTCTCTTCTGAAAAAGAGCTATATAACTCAGTGGGCCTTAACTGGTAGAATAAAATAAATAGTTTAGTTTATTAACAGTCGAGCCCCAATGCGTTCAACACTCCTTTCTGAACTATGTATACTATGTGTAGCTACCTATGCAAAAATATTCCACCGTTTGTATTTAAATATATAATTTATAAACACAAGTCAATAACCACTGCTGCATTGTAGAGCCGCTTAGTGGTTTAAATCGGCATGAAACGTCAAAGGGATTTCTTGCTCATCTCTTATTCACAGCTCTGAACCGGTGTTAGAAATTCCACATTCATATGGCGAGTCCATCCGAAGAAAAGCGCGATTGACTTCACCAAAAGGTCGTTATATACATCGTATCTACCCAGGAGGTCAACCCCCAAACAGGATTTGACCTCACAACCTACCCATTGTGAGCCACTCTACCGCTGGGCCACTGAGGTGCATTAGCAAATAACAGCAGCTTTCCCATGACCCCGATGTTATTAATCAGAATCCAACCAACTTGTTTTGACAGTATCGATATTTGTTGGTATTCTAAAACATCTCGATATGGATTTTCATTTGATGGGCTTGGTAATTTCGCAATTTAGGAAACATTCGGTCAACATTGTGGGCGGAGTGGTGACTCAGTGGTTCGTGCAAGCTTAATGAATTCTGTTACCAGAGTTTGATTCCAGGCCACGGCTAACATCAGTGGCGACGGATATCTGAAGTCTAAACCAGTGCCGGTCACCTCCATTCACCAACCCTCCCTTTACCAGCGTGACGAAGTATGGAACTCATCCAGCAGTTCATAGACACGGGCTGTTAACAGGGGCACGCACTTTGTATGAAACTGATTTGTGTTTTAACCGAGCAGATTGGTAAATGTGAAATATCTAACGTGGTGCATCGCGAGGCGTGTAGTTTGGAAACCCTGAAAAACTACACACGAGGAAGGCACGACTTCCTGCCCCAGTCCAGATTCAAGACCTACATACGCTCTCTTCTGCTATGACTATCTCTTTTCTACAATATATCCGTGCTTTGTATATTACAGTCTATGTGATGCGCATGTCACACTTTTTTTAGAGCGCCATGAGATGCATTTTTATTTAGACTATGTAAATTTACATTTCATGGTATTTTATTGTCTCGCTGGCGTGGTGAAGTAGAGAGGAAGCTGGCTTTGGAAGTGGGCGTGTGTCAAACGTCAAATCTATTTACGCGACTCAACAACAGTGTTTGTGAAAGCCTCGTGGTTAAGGAACTCTGCGTGAAATAAAACGTGTTTTTTTGCCCCAATTTTTCCTATTTGGCAAAGCAGGGTCGGCCCACACCACACTTCCACTTGCAGGGTTAATAATTACACTGAACAGATTATTTGGTGATACATGTACCGCGTTGGTAGCAGACAATGGCAAAATAACAAAATAAACTCAACATTTTCTTCAATAACACTGCTGTAAAAATTAAAGAGATTATATAATAGGTGATGTTTTAGGCAATTGCTGGCCAATTCTAGATATTTTTCTTTGTAAGGCAGCCTTCTTGATGGATACGTTAAATTATTAAAAAATAATTACACAGAGAAAATATTTTTAATCTTTTAACAAGGCTGCGACAAATGAATTATATAACATGTGGCTAATTTCTGCTACATATATTGTAAATAATTAAATGTGTGCGGAAAGTGATGAGTGACTGAAATAATACATAACGTAGTAAAAACGTTTAGTCCCATCATAATGCCCTTTATTTGTCATGCTCTTTATTTGCCGAGGGAAGCCTCACCGAAATATTGACACATTTTGTCTACACGAGGGTTCTGCATTTTGATGTTTGGCCAATTTACATTAACGAGCCATATGTGGGAAGAAACCGGAGTGCCCAGAGAAAACCTACAAAGACGTGGGGTAACACAAACCTTCGTACAGATCTACAAATCCATCTTGCTGAAATGCCATCTCAAGGCCAAGCATATTTCCCAGCAGTCTCCCATCCAAGTATAATTCTCACTAGGCATTTATATATTCTGCTTAGCTTTCAATATCTAATTAGTTTGGCTCCAGCAATGGTGACTTGTAGTCGGTTCAGGATGTTTGGGTCTTTGAATTGAGAATTCTGTTTGGGTTATTTTATCACATCTTTGTTGCCTCAGATGAAGCCCCACCCCATGCCAAGACAAGATGCACTTATGAGGGAGAACACTCAAATCCCACACAGATGGCTTTCACCATCCTACTTGCTCCATCAAGGCAACACGTTGTTGCCCAGCAGGCGGGTGCCTCGGCATGTTTTGCTATCAATTATTTTCGCGCAACTAGCCCGTGACTTCAAAAAGCGTTAAACCACAAATGACTGCCAGGCTGTGGCCCCGGTGATCCTGAGTTCTCAGCGGCGAATGGCACCTTCACCAGCTCTGAGCCCTCTTCACTTCACCAATCTGCACTGACCGGCGTTTTGCAGTATCGCCAAAACAAGCCCCGTGACTGACACAGAATGGGAGACCTTCGTCCAACAGTGAATTGGCAAAGGGCTGTACATTATTATCAAAATCTAAAAAACGTCTAGATACCGTGGTTACATTTGCAAAGCTGTACATCAATCTGAAGCAGCCTGTATGAGAAGATAGGGTTATGGTAGGTAAGCAATACAAAGAGGGCCAAACCTTGAAAAAGAAACACAGTGGCTGTATTAGGCTACTAACATACTGGTGCAATACAAAATGTTGAGCACAATTCGCACTTACAATCTTACACAATCAGTGGTTTACATATTTACAGCCTGCATGCACCGCCTTACTTCTTAGCACCAGTAGGCCGAGAGTGTTTAACATACGCAAAGGCATTGCATTCACGATAGCACAGTAAATTCGAGAGAAAAATGATTGTACACTGGATTCTGTGCGAACACAAGTTGAGGTAGAAGTTAATTATGTAAGTTTATTGCTGAAATAAATAAAGTACTTAGAGTAAGCACATGAAAGATATGATTGATAATATTTTTGTTACTTAATTAAAAGTGAAATCTTCTTTTTTTAGAAATAAAAACTGGAATACAATAAACATAACTTTAACGAAAAATAACCATATATAATCTGTAACACGTATGCAACAACTTAAAATCATTTCAATATGTTCTTTTGATAGATATGTTTAATAAATAGAGTACTAGCGACTAAATAACAATGAAAATGTCAAAACAACAATAATAATAACGACAAACATTAATACACATTTACAATTTTACATGAAATATTCATGTAGTCGTACACAGCAAAATAACTTATGGGAGGTGAATGGATCACTTATGATGGCTTAATGCGTAAAAGTCACGTGCGTGTGACCAATTTTTAATCCAAACACCCAGGCAGGAGTCGAGAGTTTTTAATTCAGCTACTGGTAGTACTGGGCTTCTCATCAGCATCACCACCATTCATCATCATCATCATTGTCATCATCAAAGAAAAAGATAAACATCCTTAACAGATTTTTGGGGCACGTGCTGTTAGCGAGCACCTATTAAGGCCGGAACGGTACACAAGGGGGTGGGTGGCCAGCACCACGCCCGACCGCCTTTCTCTCCCCAGTGGCGATGTTTACACATCGCACCAGGTACTCATTTGAGGCCGAGTCGACCTAGGGGAGGGCCCAGGACCGGATCAGATAATCGTCACTTGTGTTGGCAGTGAGCGGGAATCGAACTCGGGTCGCCGGGTTTGTAGCGCAGCGCGCTAACCGCTACAGCACCGCTCACTATCATCTTCACGACCACCACCACCATCAATCACGCGCGCCCGGATTTGCTGGACAGGGCACAGGCACAGGACGTGTCAATCCGTATCCACCTCCATCCCACGTGACGGGTGCCCTCCATGGTCAGTGCCCGCACGTAAGACTGCGTGGTCCTGCACGTAGAGTTCCAGTGCTTCTTGTCCACGCCACGGCATCCGTCGCGTGTGTTTCCCGTCGCCTTGCAGCGCGTCTCGAAGAAGTACTGCCGCAAGGGAACCGTGCTAGTCCTCATCTCCTCCAGCACCGTCACTCGATTGCCCTTGATGTCCACCGCCGTGCTCTTGTCCGTCACCCACACGCTCTCGCTGTCGCACACCGACAGCTCGCCGCGGTCGGCGCGGTGTGGATCTCCGGATGACGACGACGATGAGGACGATGAGGACGACGACGACGACGACGATGATGATGATGACGAGCTGCTGGCATGACGTCGGTCGCGTCGATGATGCGTGCTGTTGGCCACTGACACAACAGATGCGCTGAAGTCGTCCACGGGGAAGAGTAAAGGTGGACCACTAGGAGGCTGCTCGCTTAAAATCACCCGCGACGAGAACAACTCCTCCTCGTCCGCGTGGCTCAGGAGACCCGCATCTATGACGCTGATGCGAGGCCTCGGCTGTTGTTGCTGCTGCTGCTGCTGCTGTGACCCTGTGTCCCTCGCTCTCCTTGGATGCGAACCTCCCCAACCGACCTCCTCCTGCAAAGTCTTGAGCAGAACCTCCTTGAGCATCTCAGTCCTGAGCAGCGGGATGAGCAAGGTCCTGGCAGAATCGTCGGAAATGACCACGGCGTGTTGCTCGTGAATGGGAGCAGCTGCCGGTCCCTTTATGCACATCGTGAGCATTGTGAGAAGCACAAATCTCATTACTCTCTGCCCCTGCAAAAACTGGCGAGATTGAGACAGAACAAAAAAACAATTAAACAGTTAGGCTTAATATCGAGAAACTGTTGAGTGTGCCTGTCTGAAAAAACTGCCCCCCCCCCCCATATTTGTTTGTGTCCACCTAAGTTGAGGCGACACAAAGACAATCTCCACCTCTTTGAGGAGTTCTCTATATCGACGTAACGGTTTTTTTTCCAGATAAGTTGTGGCACCTACGTTTGACGTAACGCGAATATGCGCGCGTTCAAGTCCGACGTAAAATGTTGCTCGCGTCAAAAAAGAGCCACCGATGCACAAAACTAGAATTATTCATTCAAATCTACCCACGCAGTTCGGTGGATATGAGGCAGGTTATGAGTGCATAATTAGAGCCACCACACAAAATGTTTACCGCTCGTGATAGAGGCCGAATATATTCCCCCCAGCCTCAACCACAACTTTGCGTTTCAGGTGACCAACTCATATTACCGCCATCGTTGAACTGCGTGCATGCATTTGCACGAAGGGAATTGAAATTTGACCCTGAAAACGGATGTCATTACTTACGAATAACGTTCACGTCAGGTGTTGTGCACACTCATTGCGTGTTTTTCATGACAGGCGACCCAAACATGGCAATAGGAAGTAATTGCAGTGATGAATGTGGATTAATGGTTAGAGTGAGTGCCTCGTAACTCGTAAGTGAACGGTTTTAAATAGATTTTTCCACTCGGACTCTTGTTGTTGTTCATTCCTCGAAGGCTTTGTTGGAAGTCGACTATAGTTGTTCTCCTAAAACACTCGTCCTCTAAATAACAGATCAGCACTGGTGGTGCACGCTTGTTTGAGCTGATAACAGCTTTGCATTTGTTTTAACTGCTTAAATGTTGTCGTTTTATGGAGGGCCCTGCATTTGGGAGGGTTGACCAATTGAATGATGAATATTCTTGGTTCTTTTGGTAAAGTCACGTAGAAGGGAAATAATAAAATAATAATAAAACATAATAAAATAAAATTATCATGACGTTTCGGCCACAACGCAAGAAGCCGTCCTCAGGTGAAGAAACAGAGCTGTCGGAAAGACAGCGTCGGCTGCTTGCGTTGGGGCCGAAACGTCGTGAGAATTTGATTTTATTATGTTTTAGCTTTTATTATTTTATTGTTTCCCTTCAACGTGACTTTACCGAAAGAACCAAGAATAAGAATCCCTGCAGTCACGAAAGCTTTAAATCGAAATTGAATGATGAATGTCTAGAATTACTGGCAAACACCACGTCTATCATTTACTCCAAAAGATAAAGGGCCATTGCACAAAAGGTCAGATTATTACACATGTGTGTTGTAAGACAATGTTAATATTACACGTAGTTGTACACGATAGTAGCCTCATGGATGTACTGTCTCTTGGAATATGAATGTGGAATATCCACCATTGGCTCAGTGTGACCTACGGACATGTGCGCTTAGTAACTCTGATTGCGGACGCAGGGACGCTATGTACATTTCACTTTCGTGAAATTAATTGCTTTACGTGACCCGAGAAACCCCATGAAAAAAAAATATACTGAGCAATAGGTATTTTAATTACGCACAACATGACTGAAGTTAATGACTCCGCTAATTTAATAGGGTCTTACAACACAATGCAAGTTAATTGGCTGCACGTGGAGGATACAATTTAGACATACGTAGTGTCCCAATGTAGTTGCTGCTCATATTAATGCATTATATTAATTCGCGCCTCGAATTAATTGATATTCACCTCGTATGAATTCTCACCTCCGATTCGCACGGTTGGCCACGTGCTAATCGGGCTGGATAACGCGCATGGCTCAATGCTGCTATAACCGGACCGTCCAGTAGATGCCCCCAAAACCCTTCTGTGAGCAGAGCACGAGAAGAGCCAACGAAGACAACGACCCCCCGTATAGCCTCAATATTATTGCAGACTGCAGTGGCAAGTGCTGTTAACGAGTGCCCTTTACGGAGAGCACGCTACATGAACTGGTGATTTGGCCAGCACCACGCCACCTTTGTCTCCCCAGTGATGTTTACGCACAGTACGACTGAGTCCGACCTAGGTAATATAGTTAGCGGTTGGTATTTCAGATGCAATTGTATTTGTAGCCCAGATTACGTGTTCATAGCTCATCATACTGGGTGATTGGTGCTCCATTAACAATACGTTATTTTATTTTTATACCGACGTGACTTTACCGAAAGAACCAAAGAGTATGAATAGATTACGTCCCTGCACATACACAAACTACATTTGTCAGTGAGTCCGAACAACGACTCTAGCTCATTATTCTCTTTGTTATTGTATATACCGTTACATATACCGCCAACGGCCTGTGAACAATTCGCCAGATCTTGTCGGATCTAGGAAGCTTAATAGTGTTGAGCCTGGATAGTGCGTGGATGGGGGACCATCATGCATAAACATAAGTTGTAGGCTGCTGCAAGATTGCATTATCAGCAGAGAGCAATGCGGCGAAACCCGTTGCGGTTGTACTGAACTATGCTCCAACGTTTACATACGCACGGGTTTCACCAACTCGCACTGACCAAGCGTGGTGAAGTATGGTCAAAATGAGTCGTACACGTCTGCAATTGAGAAAGGGCTTCATTCATTTCCCCACGATGCTCTGCGTCAGCAATGTAATGGCATTCTCCCCTGGTGTTTGGCAGGCCATCCATAGATAGCGTCGACAAAGCCAGACTGGCTGACAACGCGCTCGAATCTACTACGGACATTGACATGTGGCACCAAAACCGCCACACCGTTTACTCTGCGCGCTATTAATTCACGGCCGCTACCATTCCAGCGACCGAGTTGCCGCAAGCTGCAGTGGCTGTTGCATGTCAATCAGACCACGGGAGTGCTTTAGTGAGCGAATCTGGTTGGTTGTTACGAATGGGTATTAACGTTCGCACGTGTCCCAGGGCTTTGCCGTCAACCCACTGCTCGAGCAGATGAACATCAAAGACGCGGTGTTGGTCGTAGGGATTGTTTTATATATATATATGTCTATATAATTTGGTATAACTTTAATTTGTTGTGCCTCCCCACCCCGTATGGTTGGCTACGTACGGTGCGAAATAAGTTCAACGTACATACGAAGGGGAGCATAAAATAGTATACATTTATTTATTTTGCTGCACTGTTCCTCTGCTGTCCTTAACCGTAGCCCCCAACCTACAGCATCTATTTTACAACCGTGCTCGACACCACTTAGCTTCCGAAATCTGATGAGACAGGATGCATTCTGGGTGATTCGGTTCGTCGAATAATAATAATAATGACGCTATTTATTTACCCAGGGATGCCTCAATGAGTCTCGAGACTACTGTTTATTCGGGATGGTCCTGCAATTGGGATTACTGGTCCGTTCCACGAATGTGGAAGCAAAGCAAAGTTCCCATATAAAGATCAACACGCGCACGCTATGGCAAAAAAAAAGCAAAGTTCCCATATAAAGATCAACACGCGCACGTTATGGCAAAAAAAAAGCAAAGTTCCCATATAAAGATCAACACGCAGACGTTATGGCAAAAAAAAAAGCAAAGTTCCCATATAAAGATCAACACGCGGACGTTATGGCAAAAAAACAACAACAAAGTTCCGCAAAGATGGATTCAGGAACATTTGCCGTAAAGCCATGTCCTGGTCACCTCGCACACATATATACCCCATAGGCGTAACGAACATTCTTCGCATTTCACTTCCTTGAACAGGACATTACTTTTTACTGCGACCAAAGGTGGTGTGACAGCTGGCCGACTGTTATTGGTATCATTACCACTCACGGTGTGAACCTACGCGATGTCCATGAAGGTAGCATCCATTGAAGTTGCATGGCGATATAATTAAACGACGTAAATGCCAACACACAGACGGGTCTCTTCCCTCTAAACCTCCACGTCTTCGCCGTGGCGTTGGCGACACGCGTAGCATCAATATATCAGAGAGCCTCAGCTGTTTGACAATATCACGGGTACGATTATTTTGATGCTCCTGTCGACGGGCTGTTGAAGATCAGTGTGTGAAACCCGTGGCTCACAAAACGCCCTGTCACAAGCCAGGGCATTTGTCTGCTTGGGCTACAAGGTGACTGGGATATCTCTTCAGTATTTTACTCTTCTCGTATGCTCGGTGGGTTTTTGCCAGGTACGTTGGTTTTTACTCACATGAACCCAAACAATGATGAACGCAGTTCGCCAAACATCGCGATGCCAATACCTTCCTGAAAACCAGTCTTGAGACTGAATGAGACTTTTCTGGGTAAATAAATGGAATTATTATTGAATTTTGCCCAAGCCGTAGTATACAATGTAATTGTGTAGGTCTAATTGTACGAGATAATTATTTATTTATACCCAGTTAAGATCGCATTCAGACAAATAAAGTTTATTTTCCAAAAGAGACCTGGGTTTTTACGTTTCAGCCAATCTTAGCGTCGACCTTAGATTGTCCATCGCTTACTGCACCGACCTCAACAAGCCAACGTTCACACTTCCGCTCATAATTTGCGGAATACACCTGGGACAAAGTCGACCGAACGAGTTTCCTCTAGATTTGAAGCATTCGTGACAGCAGGAATCTATACTCTCTGGTTCTTTCGGTAAAGTCACGTGGATAGAAAAAATAATAAAAGAAAACAAGACGTTACGGTCGCGACACAAGCGTTCGTCTTACCGAAATAACCAGCGAGTATAGAGTTTCCTCTAGTCTATTCCTTATGCACCTTGAACACATCAATTTTTTTCAAGCAAATAATGAATCTCCACACTAATTTCAAGGAGGGTATTGCATTGGGATAGTTGATCAATTCCATTAATAAGCATTTGGCTTCATTTTCGTGGAAACTCGAGTAGTAGATTAAAAAAACCCACACACACACTCTAGACTAACGCTCAAAGCTCCGCACAGATAACTTAAATAATCCATGGCTCTACTGAAACATCCTGGCCACCTGGCATCCCCCCCACCCAATGACTACAACATCGGTAGTCTCAGACAGTCCCCAATGCAAGTACTAACCAGGCTCAATGCTCCTCAGCTTCCGAGACCCAACGAGATCGCTCGGGCGCGTTCAAGATGATGATTTTGGTCGGAGGCAACGGCTGTTACCTCGAATGGCACACGTGCAGCGAGGGGCGGAGTCTCTCGTTCTCTTCATCTTCTTAATTGGTGTACGCCGTGCGAGTGCTCACTCAGCAGCAACACGTGCGTTTCACGTGTCTCTATCATTACCTTGTGTATTTAAACTTGGCGAGAAGCCATGAAGGCAACAACGCTGTTCACTTTCGGTTAGCCTCGTATATATGTAGCATACGGTCTGTCTCAAGCTGAGGACCAATTACCATGAATCAGCCCTGTCTTCTTCTTAGATATTGAAAGCTAAGAATGATTGAGCCGAGGTAAGTGCCTGAATAGGTGACCACCACCAGGGCTTGTCAGGTGTTGTCGGTGTTGTTTGCTGCAAGGTGGTAAAAAGCTACTAAACCAATCAACTATTTTATTTTTATTTTACCAGGTGAAACCCACTGAACTATTATGTCTTTTTTTTGAAGCGACCTGGCCACGAATGATAACCCAACAAAGTGCCTTATGTGGAAATTCATAGCAGCCAAAAACTATAAATGCATGTTTCTAAATGTGTAGAGAAAAACCAGAGGACCCGGAGAAAAATACACGCGACCACGGGGAGAGAGAGACACGCAAACTCCAAATACACAACAGGCGTCGGAGTCGGGATCGAACCCACGAGCTCCTGTATACCAGGCGAGGTAGTTAACATCTCGCCACCGTGGTAGAGAGATGGCGTTGCTGCATGTCAGCCCCTCGTTCGCACGATGGGCTGTCTCTGGCTTCTCCGCTTTCCTTCTGCATGAAACCAAACACTAAAGAACGTAATCGCCTAAACATCCCAATGTAGGATTCTCCTGGAAGATAAAAAAAAAACTACGAGCATCGAGAGCCAGACTTTCTGTGGTAAAAGATTGTTAATTACAATCATTATTCCGAAATAAGTTCGCATATGCATACTCATTTCAGCATGAATAAAGCCAACATTCTGCAGTGCAAATAACGGGGGGAAATGCACTGTTAATGCGGGAGAGACTGCTGAACGAGTATAACGGCTGAGGGCAAGTCAATGATTTGCTCCGGGGAGTTGGGAGGTCCTCACGAACCCCCTCGAGCATTGGCCAAGTTATGTAACACTTGTCACAAACCAGTTCGAGCCGATTGACCTGGCGCGTCGGCTGTAGCCTACGCTAACCGATCGTTTGGCAAAGGGTGTTTAAAGTCTGAACCGCAGACGCAACAAGTATGAGAATAAATAAGGAAATAACCGATCGGATGAATGAATGAGAAGTGAAAGGATGGATGGGTTGATAATGCGTGAACATGAATGCATCAGCTCAAAGGAACGAGGGCAAACTGTTAGAGGAATTAACACGTGTAACGTCGCGTTACATGAGGATGCATGCTTGACTATGCTAAAGCGTCAAACGATTGTTCACTCACGAAAGCCTTCTTGAGTCTGAATAATAATTTTTTTCTAGAGGATTTTCCTGCATTGGGGCGTTTGATAAATTCCATCAACGAGAGTTCGGTTTAATGCAGGGAGCAAATCGGAGTACCCGGAGAAAACCCGTCAGGAGTATGAGTGGGATGACAATTATCTGCACCTCAATTTCGATTTAAAGCTTTGGTGACTGCAGGGATTCATCTTCTTGGTTCTTTCGGTAAAGTCACGTAGAAGGGAAATAATAAAACGATAAAAATAAAACATAATAAATATAATAATATCTGCACCTCCTGCACCTCCTCTTAGCGCGACCTCGACAACCCCGCGCCTACAATACATGACAAGTCACGGCGGTCATCCACCCAAGTATTTGCCAGGCCCAGCTTTGCTTAGCTTCCGAGATCCGACGCATTTAGGGGTTTGACATACAGTAGTCGTATTTACCCTTCTAAGTCAAGTACCCCGTCTGCTGTCGGTGACGTCTTTACTTGAAAAGTGCTGGCGAGGAATGCAGTAGCTTAATGGAATGCGTACGTGTACGTATACATTCGCGCATATATGTCGCGACATTCCACGTTGGCCTTCGGCAAAGCGTGAACTTCACACTGTTTACGCCTTTCCATAGTGGCGGCTTTTTTTTCTGCAGCTGCCTAATAATTTCTGCGTATACGCGCGTGCATTTTGATTATCTCGGTTCGGGTCGTACACGTGTGCTGCTGGCTATTGTAGTTATTTACAGCGCGCGCGATGTTCCTGGCACCGGTCAGCATAGGGAACGCGTTCCCACATTCACTGCGATAAGAGCCCAGTTGAACCTGGCGCACGCGTGTAAACTATGGTCGGACGTGTTAATAAACACTGCATGTAATCCCGCTATTTACAGGCTACGGACACAGCCATTCGTTCCATGCTGTTTATCAACACATCGTATACACAGTCTCGTTTTAACGGCCCTTCGATCCACTGCTGGATGAAAGTCTTTTCTTCAAGCCACGTTGGTCAAAGGGATCAGCAGACCGCACTTTACTATGCTGGTTACTGTGGAATGCAGAATTGTAGGCCCAGGACCAGTTCAGATATCACTTGCTACTGATGTTAGCCGTGGCAGCGAATGAAGCCCAGGCAGCCCGATTCGTTATGCAGCGCTCTAACCACTGTGCCTCCACTCCACATTACCTAACAAGAGCCGAACACACATTGCCATTCTATTTGCTATTAAACTTTTTTTTTACATCTATGAACTTTCTTGACGATGTATATATAGTATCGCTACTAAATGCAATGAAAACTAGTTACCATAATCGAAGGGATAGGGGTTGCTACGTGTAATACGCGATTGACCGGCATGCTGAAGTATGGTAAAACAATCCTCACGAGATGCACACACGTGAGGAGGTGCTCATCCAGCAGTGGACTGACAAAGAGCTGTACACACGGTCCATCCACTACACTATATACCCTAGCCTGGGTCTAGTGTAACTCGGTGCTCGAGTGTGGACTGAGGGATCAATTGATTATATTATATTGCGCATTATATACCTTCATATACCCAGAGAAGTGACTGGCATAGCTGTTTTTCACACGTGTGTGTATATTTCTACACGTCCATGGTATAGCGGACGATGCTGATTAAACATCTACTCACCTAATTACGCGCAAACCCTTCAACGTAAGCTAGAACATGGGTTGTTCTCCGTCTAGGATCGTAGTTGAATGACAGTAGTGCTCATAAAAGAACTCAACTGTAGCGTGTTTTGTTGGAACGCTTGTGTTTGTTGTTACCTCTTGCTCACGGCGACATGAGACGTAGCTTCCGAACCCTTTCGCAATGACTTGTAACCAGGTGAATGTAAACTATTATCGTAATTTTTATTCAACTATTCTGGAACTCATTCCCCCCCCCCCACAACCATCCGTTCTGCCGACTCCCTATCCTTGTGCAAGCCCCGAATCAAAAGCGTTATTTATTCCTGCCTCTTCATTACATGATACATATACCAACTGTTGTTGTACTCCGTATTGGGATACGGTCGCATTCAGATGCCCCTATATAGATGCGAATGACATTGTTTTGCGTCTGGAACTGACGACAAACTGCCCCACTCAAGTTTGCGAGAACTACTCGTAATGAAGCTGCGACACAGTACAACGTGTTAATCAGGCGGTAACAAGCAATTGAACTCACTTGAGTTGTCATTTCTCCTCCTCATCAGAATCACATCCTTTACACCGGCCGATGCAACGCGGGTTGAACTGGAGCGGATGAGTTGAGTTCCCGAAGGCATCCGCATGGCAGCTCGGCACGCCGCTGCGCTCATTTGCGCTCGCGGTTCCTCACCGCGCCGTTCTCAAAACCACTGCCGAACTAACTGCAAGCGCCCGGGGAGATCGCACGGCACAGCGAGAGCAGCGAGCGGCCTGAACCCCCATAGGGGGGAGAGAGAGAGAGAGCGCACTGAGAGAGGGGAGCGCGGCTGGTGGTGGTGGTGATGGTGGTGGTGGTCACTAAGCCGTGAGCCACCCAGCCCGATCGCCCGCCCGCTCGTCAACCCAAGGGGCAACGCCGCTCAAATGTAACGCGGAGAAACTCGCTACTCTGAAACGAAAGTTGAAAGTCGAGGACGGAAAAAAGAAAGAAAAAAAACCACTAAAAGCAAGTCTTTTTTCATAAAGCAAGCGACTGACTAATCTAGCAAAACGTTGCGACTATTATATGGAACTGCATAAACTTGTTTAAACTGATGCGTTTAAAGAAATGCACTGCGTCTAGATAGAAACACAATGCGCACGCCTACTGCGGCGTTCGTTCTACGACATCACAGCGGGCGTAATGCGCTGCGCAGAGAGAGAGAGGGGGGGGGGGAGAGAGAAAACGGAGTCGCACAACTGGCGGGAGCAGAGCGCACCCACCCACGCCGCGCTCCTCTCTCGCTCCAGCTGCCGACCTTTGACTCCGACTCTCGCTGCGCTCACGGTTTTGGCAGCGCCTCGGGCGCTGTCCCTGGTGCTGAACATCATACGGTGGGGGGGGGGGGTGTGCTCGCTAACAGCACTTGTCTCCGACAGTCTGTTGAGGCTATACGGGGGATCTTTGTCTTTGTGTATATGTGGTGCTGGCCACTCATCCCCTCGTGTGCCGTACTGGCATTCGTAGGTGCTACTAGCTGACAGCAGTTGCCCTAAAAGTCTGTTGAGGCTATAGGGGTAATCTTTGTGTTTTAATAGGTGGAAGGTGCCTAGTATCTATGAAGCCAATAAGGGATCTTCTTGAAGGCAACATATTAAGTAGTATTTATCATTCAGAGGAATTCCCGTGATAATTTTGTTTCTGCAATGTATTCGGAACGCAAATAAACCAGTATTTCAAGCACCAACACGTTTCGTTTTTTCTACAACTCGTTTGTGTTATTTCCTCGTTTTTTTTTAATCTCGTCTTGTTTTCTCCTTTAATGGAAATATAACAGAATTGGATATGAATTAATTGTGACTAGATTAACACAAGCTGTTGTAGAATTATGTGGCATGAGCATAATCATTACATGTAATCGGTTAATAAGTACATTTTGAGTTGCCTCTAATGTTTATCGGCCCTCTATTTCAGCAGCATTAACATAATTTATTATCCATAATATAGGTTTTTTTGGGTTAGATCTTGTGAATATAAATGTGTCGTTAAACCCGCCACCACCCGACACAGCCAACTAGTAAGGTTTGTCACGTAAACAGAACGTGCCGACTCTTTACTAGTACAGCACACCGGTGTGTTGGAGAGCAAATCCACAACATTTAAATGTTCTGCCTTTGCGAACTTATACAACGAATTACATTTGCGGCCCGTTGTCAATCCATTGCTGAAGGAGAGACTCCCCATGCCACGTAGGATTGATGGTTATCGGTCCATACTTCACCACGCTCGTCCAGGCGTCGGCAGCCTGCAGCTCCAGAGCCGCATGCTGCCTCTTTAAAAGGACAGTTTCGTGACGTCATTTATTAAGGATCACCACCGTGTCGTATTCACCACGTGCGTTACAGCTCTTGAAATATTGAGGGGTTTTTTTTTATTCCAAATTCTAAAAAGTGGTTCTTCTTGTTATTTTGGTTGCCGACCCCTGCACGAGCCAACGCGAATGAAAAAAAATTACCGATTAAAACAACAGGGTTCGTTTCTATCACCGAGTAAATGAAGACAATTTGACCGAATGTTAATATTTACGTTTCAAGTTTATTTTGTTGAACCAAGTGACAACTCAAAAGCAGACCGAATACAGTACAGCAACCAAGCAAACAGAAATCAGAAATCATTAACCGTGTCAAAGATTGTTTTCATCTCAGTGACAGCAAAAAAGCCAATGTTCTAATTTTCAATTAGGATTTTATTCATAATCGACAACAGTTATTTGAGATTCTTTAACTTTAAAAGGCTGAGTGCCATAGACATGCTGTTCTTGCCATTAACAACGAGCACAGCTTGTAGGTTCAGGACTATTCAGTGTTAGGGATAACATTTTCAAAACCAATTATGGATTAATTATGGACTGCTCTCTGTGTGTCTATGCTGTGTGTCTATCTCTGTGTGTCTCTGTGTTGTCTCTCTCTGCTTGTGTGTCTGTCTGTGTGTCTCCGTGTCTGTGTTTTGGCTCTCTCTCAAATTTAGTTTGACCTGATGACGATTGCTTGTGTTGCAATCGAGACGTTGTATTCTATTATTTAATTTATTTTATTTCTACGTGACTTTACCGAAAGAACCAGAGAGCAATTATGGATTCATTCATTTACTTTCATGCATAACCTTGTGAGGCCCCTATTGAGACGAACCGTTTCTCTTTCGAGAGTTGGATCAAACTAATCAGTAAACATGTATGTAAACATGTATGTACGTATGTGAACATGTATGTGTATGCATGTTGAACTTCATTCGTACCGTACGTAGCCAACCGTCCTAATCGGAAATGCAGTGGAAGGGCAGCAAACTAAACACAAAAAGCAGCTCTAAAGAAATTCAAGGTAAAAACAACAACGGTGATTAATACGATAATATTACACGATACAGTACTAACAATCTAACATTAACACTGAACTATATCTTTATATATCATGCATACACTGTAAAGTTACAATTATTTCATTCATGTATTACATGAATACGATGTATAGTATTGCAATGAAGTAACATAACACACACGTTTCAAGCAACTATGGCTGTGTCACTGAAAAGATGTTCATTTTGTAATTCTATTGAAAGTAGTTGTTACAACGGCGCTTGAGAATTCAGTGATTTAGTCTCAATTACTTGTTTGCGAGTGGCGAAGTTGCCACTCAGCAAAGACGACGGGGGCACAAATAAGCTGTGGGCCCCAATTTCTTTCGTAACGCAACAAATACTAAGCCCCAAAAGCGTCCGCCACTGTGCAGTTGAGTTACGTGGGGTTCTTACTTTTGACAATGCCTCTCCCTCCTCCCACTCCTGCATCACGTCACCGTACCCACCACTCACCCCTTCACGCCAC